TCATCTACCGAAGAACATTTACAACTTTACCATCCGCTACATCAACAACTCTCTTCCTTCAAGTAAGAATTTGGTAAGATGGGGATTATCACAAAGTCTTGATTGTTCCTTTTCCCTTAATCCTGAGTCACTCCTTCATGTTATCGCTGGTTGTCAACAATGCCTTGATCGCTTTACCTGGAGACACGACTCAATCCTTAACTTCATTGCCAAGTCCCTTCAACCTGTAATTAATCTTAGCTCCTCACTCTATGCAGATGTTACGGATTTTCTAAATCCCTCAATAATAACTGGTGAAAATTATCGCCCTGATCTTCTTTTCCTAATCCAGTCCAAGTGCCTATATGTTCTAGAATTAACAGTTGGTTTCGAATCTAACCAGTACAACAATGCAGTACGTAAAAAAGAAAAATATCGGAACTTGATTAACGAAATGAGTAGAACTTTCAGATGTTTGATATTTGTAAACTTCTCCATGAGCTCCCTTGGCGTTTTCTCAGATGAATGCTCTACGTTCTTAGACATGATGAATGACATAGGCATTGACAAAGAGCAGCTACTTTACATAATCAAGAAAATGATAAATATAGCTATTAGAGCAACATATTACGTATTTGTTGTAGAAATAGGAATTGGGACAACCCAGATTTGATGCAATTTTGATTTTTGTGTGTGTGTTGAATAAGCCAATCTCAAGCAGCATTTGTAAATTGCTTATACGTAGTGAGATTTACAATTGTACATTTAAAAACACAAATAAAGTTTCCATTATTAATATAGCTTCATCCCAATCAGCAATTACAAAAAGGTCTTTGCCTCACCACATTGAATAGTGTTAGTTACTGTAATTCCTAAAATAAGCACCCAGGCAATTTTTCAGAATTTTATCTAGGAGATGGGCACCTATCAGTAGGATCAGGTTGCTTAATTGAGGAGGTTAGTTTATCAAGAAAATATTACCCTAAACTGATTTAGCTGAGTAAGTGAAGTTTAAAAAGTTTGAAATAAACTTGCAAAAGATTATCTTTTGAAGTGAAATTCTTTATAAATGTCGTTAACAAAGGTAGAAAAAAAATTTCATTCCTCCGCGGCATCCAGCCCTAGGAGCACTTTCCGCGATGCTGTGAGAGCGAGGATTACTCTTGTTGTTTGGGCACTTCGCGTGGCGCCTTTTAGCAGGACGAGGATCTTGTTGTCCATGTACTTTTCAGGGTGCTTTTAGAAGGGGAATACTCTTGTTTTTGTGTGTACTTTGTGTGCGATCCGCTGGGATCGGACGATTCGACACACTAAGTCATGGCCTGAGAGACTCCAAGTCAGATTCACGGATAGACTGGAAAACTTTACGACCCGTGGATACATTAGACGATCCGTACGAGTAGTACGACTCGTGAATGCGTTGGACGATACGTACAGGTCGTACGGATCTTTATAGATAAAAAATGTCTGGAGTGTACCAAGAATTTGAGGAAAAAATGATGGAAATTAAAGTCGTGAAAATGAACACGCTACCAAATTACCGTATTTTCTCGGTTATAAGACGCACCCTGAGTTTTTTAACTCGTTTCTTTCAAGTTGTTAAACTGAAAATTTCGCCTAAATACCTGGTTATAAGACGCAACCTCAACCTTGGGCTTTTTTACTATCTTTAATTTCAAAACAATAGCGTTTTCAAAGTTCCTAGTTGCAGTCATGTGACCTTTTTTTAACAAAAGGCAAAAAAGTCACACATTTGTACGAACAAAGCGAAAAGAAATCGTGCCTAGAAAAGAGATATGGATACTGTGAATACAGTCTGCTTCTTAGGAAACAGTGTTACTTTCTTAAGCTATGAATACTAATTGATCCAGTTAAGCTTTATAAGCATGTCTCAGCTGGTCGAACTCCTAGTCGTAAAACTTAATTCACGGCGGTTCAGTAAGCACATGGTATATTAACGACTCGGAAAAAGGAAAAATTAACGAGATTCCCAAAGTTACGTTAATGTCAGGAAGTGTTAATTTCCTATAGTAAGGGAGTTTATATATTTTGGCACCAAATAGAGGCTGTTATGGAGGCAATTAAGACAATGAAATAAAATTGCTGCACAAAATAAGTGCGGAGTATCAGCAAAGGGAAGCTATCCATCGTCGGCGGACTAAGAAGTAAAGAAGGATCAGACGAAAACTTAAGAGTTTGTCTCTGTAAAAGCGGTCCGGTCAATTTTGCATGAGACACAGATTTCCCTCATTTCTTTTGGGTTGTAAGACACTCATGTGCCCATACTAAAACCACAATCCGTTTGATCGGATCTCTCTATTTTTCAAAGTTTTACGGAAATGAAATTTCACTCGAGCGAAGGCCCTTCGTGACACTTTTCAAGACTTTAATTTGAGACAGCTTTGGAGGACAATTTAAAAAAAAACTACGGAACTTAGAAAAAAACAAATATCACAGCCATGTATATTAATCCTATCTTATCCATCGAGGTGACTTTCTTGAACATCACATTTCAATCAAGGAAACAGGAAGACTTGAATGACACCTTATCGGTTCGCTTAAGTCACACACGCGAAAACCGATCAAATTCAAGGTAAATTTTTGAAAAAGTGAGGCGTTCTTAACTGATCCAACTAACATAGTTAGGAAGTAGATGCCATAGAAAAGGTAACTACAGAAAAAAACTTTGCGGCCCGACCTTTACGAAAACTTTATAACTCCACGAACTTACCTAATTTTCGGCAATCTCCAAGTTTGGCCGCCATTTTGAGGGACTTATCAACATGAAGCGTTGCAGACACAAATCGAGCAGGTAGATCTAAAACCGTCAGAAATACATGCGAAAGCAATTCAAGTAAACTTTCCTTTCTATTCAAGCAGCAAAATGTGAAATTATTCGTAATACTTACCATTCCTACATTCCCATGCGACCATTTCTTCCAACAATTCANATTCATGAGTGGTCTGTGGTAACGCTCGCTAGGCAAAGAATGGGTTTGTCACCTTCTCACTCAATTGAAGAGACTCGCGTCACTTCTATGAAATAGTTAAACAGAATACAGACTGCGAACAGTTTCTTATAATTTTTAAATATAGCGAGGTCACGCGTCTCCTGTGAGCATGGAGAAGATGCGAGATTGGTGACTCGTGTGTCGCGTCTTTGCCGCTCCACGCTCTCAGAGTTGAGCAAAGACAAGAAACTTTACCACTGATCCGATACAAGAGGTTCAATGGTTATCTCGATTATCTGAACACATTTACTTACATTGGTAAAGATTTGTTTATATATATATGAATTGATGCCGATCCTTTTTGGAACGAAATGTATTTAAAGAGAAAAAGTATTCCCGGAGCAAAACAAAAGTTGTCTAGATCTGCAACACAAAGCATTCTTTTGCACAAAGACTGAGAATCGTAATGCATATTATGATGCTTTAATGAATATATTCGAATGTTCCCAAAAATCTTCTGATAATCTGCCCGCACCCACTCCACACCCTCCCCCTCACCACTGAGCCGTACTGTTTTCACTTAGCGGCTGGTCAGCCGTTCGTTTATCAGGTAAACATGGCAATCGCTTCATGATCGCCGTTCTTGTCGATCAGAAAATAAAAAAACCAGGCTGATATTGCCTCGGAGCTGAAGCAGCTGTGTTATGTGATTCGTACTTCACATTCGAGTCGAAGCTTGGGTGACACAGGTTATTTCTTAGGGTGGAATCGACGAGGGAAATTCGAACACTAGTTGTAGTGTTTGAATTGTTGGAAGAAATAGTCGCTTGGGAATGTAGGAATGGTAAGTTTAACAAACAATTGCAAATTTTACCGCTTGAATTGAAAGAAAAGTTCATTTGAATTGCTTCCGTTTGTATTTCAGAAGGTTTTTAATCTACCTGCTTGGTTTATATCTGTTACGCTTAGTGTTGACAAGTCCTTCAAGATGGCGGCCAAACTCGGAGATTGCCAAAAATCAGGTAAGTTCGTGGAGTTCTAAAGTTTTCCCAAAGGTCGTGCCGCAAAACAAAGAAATACATTATAATAAATAAAACTTCACGAAAAACGCAGGAAAAGACACGACAACAAGAGGAAATTTAAGTCGAATATCAGTAACAGGTCCTAGTCCCTCCCCTTAACACTTTCTCTGTTCTTTGGTCCACCCCGCCACCCCTTTAACTTCAAATTTTCTCTTTCCAAAATTGGTTGAATTATATATTAAATTATTAAAGGGCACATGGTATACCTTCTCCAGCTGTACCAGATGCTCTGCCTACTTCTGCCACATGCTCCTCTGTTGGTCGTGTATTGTTTGAACTGTTGGGGGCTGTATTGGGATGGGAAGAGAAAGAAAAATACGGTGAGAGTCAATGTTAAATATGATATATTTCTACTGCTAGTCGCAACAATCGCCATATTCCAAATATTTCAGTTTTTTTCAGTCATCTTGTCTACGGAAATGTATTCTACATGAATATGTATGCTGAATCAGTCGTTGAATTAAAGTAGTTCGTGCTGTAGGTTAGGCATTGCGACTAGTGGTTAAGGTTGTCTGTGAAGACGCTCGCCAGTAACGCATCGAGCAAGTTTGCATGGTTGCCACGGAAATCATAGGAAACTGTGAATGAGTCGTGGATACATTGCGTTTGATTGAGTTTTGAAGATAATGAAATTCCAATGGGTAACTCCCGGATACAGTTGAAGATACTTGGCATTACTTTGAACTGCTGGGGTGATGTTGGGTGAATG